GTACATCCTCTTGGCCGCCGTCGCCATCTATCTCCTCGTCCAGAAGATATCCCAGAGCCTGGCGGCCAGGCCGAGCAGCCAGCCGGGAGCAGCTGACGCAGCTGTGGGTGAGTAAATCTTCGCGTGCTCTTTAGAGCTGTGCGGGGTGGTGCTTGTGTCTCTTCTAGGTTCCTGCTGGCGCTCCGCAGTCGCGGTGGGATGTCTGACAGCTGCTCAGATCCACACGCGCGGGGTCTTTGTTTGATAACCACCAAAACGAGATTCAGTTCTGAGGCATTTTAGCGGTGAGCGATACTCGGGATGACTGTTTAGGCCCACGAAAGCGTACAGATCGTGTTACTGAAGAGATCGCCGGCGAAAGGTTGGACCAAGAGAAGTGTTTTTAGAAGGTTGTCGAGGAAGGATTGTGTCCCAAAGTAACGTGCTTGGGGGTGAAGGAGCGGGGCGTTGCAGAACAAGGGAGTAGCTGGTCTTTGATAGTGCAGGAGCTGAGGAGCTGAGAGAATGGTGGTTAAAATTAGTTGTGGTCAGTTATCAAATAACTTTTAGACTTATGAAACAAAACCAAAACGTCCAAATCTAAGTACTGGGGGGAAAAAAAATTTATTAATATTCATTTTTTATTAATATTCATCAACTCTCTCTCCTTTCAAGTATTCCTTCACAGTTCCTACTCTGTCAGGATTGTATGCTTTTGGGGTGTAACTGCCTGTTACACCCTGTGTAACAGGGTCTGTGTTATCTTCTAAAGTGTGGCATAGATATGTGTAAATCTTACACAGTCATGATCCTGCCTCATTTGGAGACTCGCTGCCGTAAAGCACAGACTATACTTACGTATCTGCCAAAACAATAAGTGCTTGGCACTGATTCCTTTGGCATGTTGGCATGGCAGTACATGGGGCCCCAGAAAATAGTACTCATGTGCCCTTATCCTGCTGGTGTTCTTTTGTAATGCTAATTAAATCTTGATTTAATTGCCAAAACTGCCTATAAAGTGAAATTACTAAAAGTACTGAAATTTCTTTTACATATTCATCATTGGACGGTAGCAAACATATAAGGAGACAAACAAATGTAGAGATACTTCAGCTACTGGGAAAAAAGAGAGCAATATTTGCCTTTGTTTGGATATAATTTTTATTTTGACTTCTCCTAAAGGCCGAGCACGAAGAGAGGTGGTTACTCAGTGTAGATTTTCTGATACTGCCAGTTTTCTCTTGAGATATGTGTGATATTTGTAAGTAATTTCCCTGCTGATGGAGCGCGTTAAATCTGTCACTGCTTCACTGCCATAATGAAACAAGCAGGACCAATTGCCAGGAGTGGGAGTGAATGTGGGCTGGTTGCCTCATGCTTCTGCGTAAAAGAAGTTCTCTGGGTAAAAATGGAATCCCTGTGAAGCATGGGTGATATTTCTGAAATTATTTGTATCAAACAAATCCTTCAGAAATAGAAGCAAGTATCCTAGAAGTGTTAATTTTAATTTTTTATGGGTTCATTATATCGGTGTCCTTATTCATTAAAATCCCATTAAAGTAATTGCTCTAAAAATATTATGAAATTTAAATCAGTGTATAAATTACTGTAAAAGATTAGCTGGTAACTGAACTTGAGCTGTGATTTTCTGCAAAACAGCTGCAGGGAGAGATGTGAGCCTTTCCTTATTACAGTTCTTTGAGGAGACCATTTAGAGTTTATTTTGAATAGCTTTGCAATCTCTTTCCCAATTTCCTAGAACCTGACATGGTGGTAAGAAGGCAGGAAGCTTTGGCAGCAGCTCGCCTCAGGATGCAAGAGGAGTTGAATGCACAAGCAGAAAGATACAAAGAAAAACAAAGACAGGTAACTCTTTAACTCATAAATTTGTTGTCAAGTACTTTGCTGCTGTTATGGAAAGATTTATTCCATGATAGATACCAGAACAGGAGACTCGCTCTCTCTGCTGGAATGTGGGTGGTGGGTTTTTCCCCCCTCTTTTACCTGGACCACTTTTGGTACGGTTTGACCCACAGAGCAGTAACGGACAGTGAGTATGATGGACCTCCAGCGATGCAAGCACATACTTGCATGCTGTGCCGACCTGATGTCTTGATGCTCTTCGTTGATTAGAATGATTGATACGGGTAGTATTCTGCTCCTTCCTGAAGTAATTAATCTCTGTGGTACTTGCTTCTCCGCAAGTAATTGTGTGTGGGGGACACTGTGGGCCTGATCTTTTTTTTTTTTTGCAGGTAAATCTGTACCTACAGAAACTTAGTTATATGCGCAGTGAATGGCTGGAAGGGATTTACTGGCGTTTAGACTAACTGTACTACTGCATACGTGTATTTTCTGTTCTTAATGGCAAATATAAGTTCTTAGAAATTTAGCTTAGCATTGCTGTAATTTAATGGTTTGAACTACAGCTTGAGATAATGAGGAACAGCATATTGCTCTGTGGGGCAGTGTAGAAAAGTGGATGTGATCAGCATAGCAGTAATATTGCTCATTAATCCCAGCTCTTCTTCTGTTTTTACTTTTGCAGTCAGCTACATTCAGACCTCAGTTTATACCTGATGCTTCAAGAAATATTGGCAGGTAAAAACGAATGAAAAGTCATATTGTGGAAGAAAATAGCCACTATGTAGAAAATCTAAGTCTAGCGTGCTTGGACTCGGGGAGCTTTGCTTTCTTTGATTGGGTGGAGTAGCTACCTTGTTTCCTTTCTATTTGTTGAGAAGGCGGCAGTCTGTCTCAAGCATTAATTTATTTGGTTTTGTGGATAAATTGCTTTAGAAGAGAGCTGGGAGAATTGTTGATAATGTATATTGGGATGTAAATATGTAGCTGGCTGTCTTGTTCATTTGAAAAACACACTTTCTTCTGTAGAACCCTACATTGTGCATTAAATTACTATCATATGCAATATTCTTTACTCAGTTCTTCTTATAAACTCAGGATTTAAGCTTGCCACTTGGTTCTGTTTTACTTTCAAAATGTTTTAAAGCATCAAGTGGTCAAAAGAAGCTGCAGACACAGTCTGTATATGTTGAGGGAGGAGTGGTTGTTCTGTGGTTGGGAAGACGTGGGTGCTTAAAAAAGTAAATGCTTCCATAAGGTCGGAGATACTGCATGAGGTAAAGATAGGTCCCTTGGTTTTTGATGAGTCTGCTGTAGCTGTTTCTGTAGCACTGGCGATTCTATTAGTTCTGAAATCTTAGTCTTGCATATCCTGGATTTGTTCCTTAGCTTGAAGAAGAGAAGCGAAGGCAGAAGATAGCAATGTGGGAAAGTATGCAAGAAGGAAAAAGCTATAAAGGAAACCTGAAACTGAATCAGGTAACAACTGTGGTGTTAATCAGGTTACAATTATGTTTATGTGATTAGATTAGCTGAAATTCACGTTGATTAAATTCTGAGTAACTTCTGCTTTTGTGAACAGCAAGAAGTAGAATCTGGTGCCTCCACCTCATCAGCAGTCCCAAAGTCTAAACCAAACAAAAAGCCCTTGCGAGGAGGTGGTAAGTATGAAATGCTTAAGATATTCTGAGCTTGAAACAGAGCATTTATCCAGCTGCGTGCATAGTCGTTGTACATATTTTTTCTCTTCTTCAAGGAGGAAGCAAAATGTGCCTTACAAACGAGCTCTTTATCTCTAATCAGCGTGGTCTGCTTTGCACTTTGTGCAACACCTAGCAGGACGTTTCTATGGTGCTTTTCCCCGGAGAAGTAGTGTTTCAGTGTTCTTGTAAATGCTTTTGCCATAATTTACTGAGATTTTTGTCACTCAAAATTATAGATTCTTAAGATATTTCTGGATCCCTCCCCCATTAGTGTAAAAGTCCAATATTTTAATATCTGGTCTGTCTTTCAATCACCTGTAGTACTAACTAAATGCAGGAAGAGGATATTTTACTTTGTATTATGTAGATTCAGGAAGATGGAAGATGAAAGACTTCATTAAGCAAAATGTGATCTTATTTATCACAATAATGACCTATTGAATGTATAAATCCTGCATATGTGTAAACTCTTACTGACTCTCGCAAACTGCCGGAGGGTCTTATCATTAAAATCACTGTCAACTGCTGAAATCATCTTGATGGATGAACTGCTTTCTATGGCCTTACATAACCCACGTTAGGATCACTGCCATATATCGCCCATGCAGCTAGTCTCCTTTCTCTCCTCTTGGCCAAACAGCCTGCGCAGTACCTACAAGTGCTAATTTGGGTATAATATTTTAATTACAGTTTTCCATAGTGGAGGGCACCATCTAGACAG